TTGATGGTTTTAAAAATGATTATTAATTTGTCTTTATATGTGATAATAGCATCTTATAATCTGTATGCAGGCAAAATATTGCATAGATGAGAGAATGTAGTTCATTAGTGGAAATGAAATACTTTTAAATATATTGGTTCAAATGTTCATGTTACCTCGGAATAGACATTAGTAACTATCTGTGTGATTCACTGTGTGGATTATTGGTGGCATGTTTTTAATCACTGGATGCTAGTGTGTGCTAACGACAGCTGTGGTCTGATCCCACTGCTCTCATTGGGTTTGTTTCAAAGAAACACTAACCAAGTCTTTTATTGACATAAACAAAATGTACAGGCCATGGGAAGCTATGGAAACATTAAACCAAAGTCAGACAAAAACAAAAGAAGAATGATTTCATCATCCATACATCTGCCATTTTCCAGGAGGGTGGATAATTATTTCAGTGTCTTATATTCTGGGTTGGTCCTGTGTTGGCCCAAAGGTCCTTGCAAAATTGCATGTTAATAGGAAGTAAAAATGGATAAAATATTAGAAAAAAGTGCTTTTGTTGGCTAAGAAAGTTGAGCATACTTGAAACGATAAAACAAAAAATGGACATTTTAGAAAGTTTGGAGTTTTAATGCTAAAGAAATGAAAAGTTACAAACCTGTGATTTGATTCTGTGGAAAATTCAAGAATTGGCGTTCATACAGGTGAAAAATGACTTTTTGGTACTATCGATACTAGTAAATGTACTCAGCAAAAATGCTGTATATGGATTAGCTCATTGAATTATTATGACACTGTGAGATAGATATTATTGTTCTCATTCCTATTCAAATCCCATTCCCATACAAATAAGAAGCCAGGCTGAGAGAGTTTAGGTGCCAAATTTGGCCAGGCTCAGGCTCAGGTGAATAGGTGAAATGAGGAGACTAACTTTTGCTTTTTATCACTTTTAATCACCAAGACATAATGACTCCCCCTGCCACTCTCATGTTGAAGGCGGTGGTTATTTTCATGAAATGTGAATGGTAACTTGGGGAGAAAAATTGTAATTAGGTGTTTTGAGACATTTGAGATATCGAGCTATGTAATAACATTTGCACTCTAAAAGGATTTTACAACCAAAATGGTCTATTTTCCACCCCATTCTCTCCTACATACTTAAATCCAGAATTTGATTAATTTCTTTAGAAGTTTACTTAGACATCAGAGCTCATTTATGACTCAGTTGATCTTTAAAAAATATTTTGAGTACTTTATACAAAATAAGTGTCAAGGAGTGGGGAGTTATGCTTCACCTTCTTGAGGGCAGAGTATCTGCATAAATTATTTGGAATTCTTCTGTATGGAAGATTTGTCTCCTCTCCTCTGTTTGTTCATTTATTTATTCAGTCATTTATTTATATCAGTATGAACTCATGGATTCTCTTAGTCCATTCAGGCTGCTATAACAAAATACCACAGACTGGGTGGCTTACAAACAACAGAAATCTATTTTTCACAGTTCTGGAGGCTGGGAAGTCCAAGGCCATGGTGCACCTTGGTTGAGTGAGGACCCTCTTCTGAATCACAGAGTTTCTATGTTCTCGCATGGTGGAAAGGGGCTTGGGATCTCTTCGGATCCGCTTCTATAAGGCACTAATGCCATTCATGAGGGTTCCACCCTTTGCCTCTCACACCTGGCAACCAGTGATATTTTTACTATCTTTTTCTATAATTTTGCCTTTTCCAGAATGTTGCATAATTAGAATTATACAACACGCAGCCTTTTCAGACTAGCTTTTTGTACTTGGTAATATGCATTTAAGGCTAATCCATGTCTTTTCATGGCTTGCTAGCTCATTTCTCCTCGTTGCTAAATAATATTTAATTATATGGTTATGGCACAACTGATGTCTCCAACTTGCCTTTTTTAAACCTTTTAAATTTTTTAAATTTATTTAAAAAATTTTATTGGGGTATAGTTGATTTACAATGTTGTATTAGTTTCTGTTGTACAGCGAAGTGAATCAGTTATACATATACATATATCCACTCTTTTTTAGATTCTTTTCCCATATAGGTCATTACAGAGTATTGAGTAGAGTTCCCTGTGCTATACAGCAGGTTCTTATTAATTATCTGTTTTCTATATAGTAGTTTAATGTGTATATGTCAATCCCAGTCTCTCAATTTATCCCTCCGCCCCTTTCCCCCCTGGTAACCACTTTTGCAGGACATCTTAGGTATTTCCAATTTTGGTTGACTATGAGTAAAGCTGCTCTAAACATTCACATGCAGGTTTTGTGTGGATAAATCAGTTGGGTAAATACTTGGTAGTGTGACTGCTGGATCATATGGTAAGATTATATTTAGCTTGGTAAGAGACTGCCAGTCTTCCAAAGTGACCGCCATTTTGCATTCTTACCAGCACTGAAGGAGAATTTTTGTTCCTCCTCATTCTTGCTGAAACTGATAGTCAGTTTTTTGGATTTTAACCATTCTCATAGGTATGTAGTGGAATCTCATTTTTGTTTAACTTCAACTCACAAATGATCATCTTTGCATATTCTTATTTGCCATATCTATATCTTCTTTTGCAAAGTGTCTATTCAGCTCTTTGACTCGTTTTTAATTGCGTTTTTTTCTTGTTGAGTTTTTTTTTTTTTTTTTTTTTTTTTTTTTTTTTTTTTTTGCGGTACACGGGCCTCTCACTGCTGTGGCCTTTCCCGCTGCGGAGCACAGGCTCTGGACGCGCAGGCTCAGCGGCCATGGCTCACGGGCCCAGCTGCTCCACGGCATGTGGGATCTTCCCGGACCGGGGCACGAACCCACGTCCCCTGCATCGGCGGGCGGACTCTCAACCACTGCGCCACCTGGGAAGCCCTCTTGTTGAGTTTTAAGCATTCTTTGTATATTTTAGATACGGTTCCTTTATCTGATGTGTAATTTGGCAAATAGGACTTGTATAATATGCACTAAGATGAAATGAGATGACAGTGAGTCAATTATGCCTTTATATTTTCAGCCTGGGTTTCTGGAAAAAACGGAGAGTAATAGTATAACAGAAAACAGAAAGTTGAGAGTTAAAATCACTTTGGGAATAAGTGGGAAGGAGATGACTCATGTAGTTTTGAGTCAAGATGGAGCTTGAGGTGATGGAAGAATTTCCAAACTAGAGATTAAAAATATAATAAGATTTTGCTGTCATCGTCATAGATTATTGTAGAGAAAGCAGAAGTAAAGATCAAATAGAAGTTAGGATAAGAACCATATTGTGTCACAAAAGTGATAGAAGGAAGTTTTAAGAAGGAATCAAACGTTGAATATGTACCACTATGACGGACATAATGAAAGTATGAAAACTGCTTTGTCTTCTTGAGGTCAAGTCAGCTGTCAGCTTACTTCTATATTCTGTGCCTTTTGTATCTGGGGACCCAAACTTGCTTTGTCAAGAGAGCTCTCTCTCTTACTTTAATGAGTCTCTTATCTTTAGCACCTTGTAGAATTTCTCAAATTGAATTTTACGTCACTGAGGCTCTTTTGCAGGGTGAACATGGGCTGGATCTTGTTTGTTGTTGTTTTTTTTTTATCTAATAAAACTACATAATTATATATATATTATATATATATGTATATATGAGAGATCTATATATCTATTTAGTTTAAATTGATTTTTTAAATACTGAATTCATTGAAATAAATCAGTTGCCTTCTCAATAATACCAGTCTGTTGTAGAATCATACAGTTGTGACTTTAGTCCCCAGCAGAATTAATTAATATGTATAAATTCTGTGCCTTGTCTGTGCTAGAAACATGCAGCCTATTCCCTGAAGTCATAAAGATATACTTGCTTTTTCTCTTTTCTGCATCCCTAAGGATGGTAATTTATTGAATAATTCACAGAGAGTGTACAGTAGTACAAATAATTAGAATCACTGAGTAATAATTATTGATAGCCTATTCGTGATTTTGAGTTGTTTAGTGAAATGGCATACCAACATGAAGCATCAATTTGAAAACATGTAATTTTATATTTTTTTAAGTGAAGATATATAAAAGTTCTTTGCTTGAAAATTCTGTGTATATTCAGCAGTTATTATTAGACTATGAAAATTATCTCAGTGAAACTGACTACATATATTGAATATCAATGAAAAAATGTCGAGTATTTTGAACTGAACATTAGTTTTATCATTGGATTTAGTGACCCTGAGAAAAAGGAGAATTTGTGTTGTAAACAGTAAAAGATAAGAACTTATTCATTAAGCATGTTTTTTGCACCTGAACTGTACCAGTGCTTTATTCTCCCATTTGATACTGTTCCTAGAGTTTCACTTACCTTAAGTCTTAAATCTATGGTAATTACTTACAAAAAAGTGGAAGCACTTTGCAAGGCTTAAGCGAACAGCAGTGGAATACAGCATCGGTTCAAATATGACACTGAAATTTACTGTTGCAAAACAGCTGTGTAACATGATGTAATATCTATAGTTTAAAATTGCTAAAGTTCTAACTTTACTTTTTTCCCCTACTTTTTCATAGTGGTAAAATATAAATAACACACAATTTAACCATATCAAGGATATAATCCAGTGGCATTAATTATACTCACTATGTGTGCAACCATCACCCCCGTCTACTTCTCAAACTTTGTCTTTATCCAAAACAGAAATTCTGTACCCGTTAAACAAATAATTCCTCATTCTCCTCTCCCTCGGCCCCTGGTTGCCTCTAGGCTACTTTGTCTCTATGAATTTACCCGTTCTAGATATTTCATATAAGTGGAATCATATAATGTTTGCCCTTTGTGTCTAGCTTATTTTATTTACTATATCATTCTTAAGGTTCCTCCATGTTGTAACAGGACTTCATTCCTTCTTATGGATGAATAATAGTCCATTGTATGTATATACATCTTTTAAAAATATTTCTATGTTAAATCAATCTGCATAAATGTCATTTTTCTGTATCTTTGATGTAAATGAAGATGTCGTATTGATTAATTTTATTCTTTTCAATTCTTTTACAGGTTTGACAGATGAAAAAGTGAAGGCATATCTTTCTCTTCACCCCCAGGTATTAGATGAATTTGTATCTGAAAGTGTTAGTGCAGAGACTGTAGAAAAATGGCTGAAGAGGAAAAACAACAAACCGGAAGGTAAGATCTCATTCAGATTGAATGTGGATTGTTTTCTATTTTATAGTGACAAAAAAGGTATTTAATACATGCTAGAAAGTAAAATATTAGTAGTTTAATTCTGTAAGAATTTTATTCTGTTTAAAAAGATAACTTAAAATAAGTTAGAATGAGGGGAAACAAATACAAAAGGATGATCTTTAAGAAAATACCTGGCAAAGAATTGAGAATTTATTTAGATGTGACCACATTGAAAAATGCAGAAGTCAGTATTAGACTTGGCTTTAGTTAATGATTATTGTTGATTATAAAAATATTCTTTATATATTTCAAAAATAGATTTATATTATTGTATTTTGCAAAATGAATTATTCAAACAATTTTTGTATGTGCACAGTAGGAAAAGAACTCTTGACTTGCATTAGACATTTTATTTACACTCATAAACTTAAGATGGGGTTATATTTATGGAAAAAAGAAAGGTGGACTCAAAAGGAATGTGAAATCAAATAAATTTCCCCCAAAATCGAATCTATGTGAATATATTGGATTTGGTTATTCTGGTATAATTTTAATTTTGGATTTAAATGAATTTATATTTGGCCAATCATGACTTCTCATCTCTATGAATGTTGCTTTTATAGTGGAAATTAAAATTTATATATGATTCTAACTACATGGAGAAGTTTTATATTAAAAAACCCAAAATATTTACTATTTTTCTGGAAATTATTTTTGTGTAAAAACATGCTACATTGAAAGTTAAAAAATGACCATTATTAAAATATTATGCTGTTAGACCTATGCTAATAGCGTGCTGCCCGGAGCTGATTTTCCTCACTCTACATATGAAAGTTTCTATAATTTTCTTACATAATTTTTATAATAAAAAAGAGGTGGATGTTTTTAAAAAGAGAGTTTTTGGTATTGAAACACAGAGTTGTTTTTAAAGTGTCCATGGGTGGGTGTGAATGTGTATGCATGTATGTGTGGATTGAGAGGGAGGGAGAAAGGGAGAGAGGGAGAGACAGAGAGAGAGAGAGAGAGAGAGAGAGGGTATTGAAACACAGAGTTGTTTTTAAAGTGTCCATGGGTGGGTGTGAATGTGTATGCATGTATGTGTGGATTGAGAGGGAGGGAAAAAGGGAGAGAGGGAGAGACAGAGAGAGAGAGAGAGAGAGAGAGAGAGAAATATACCTAAATCAGAGACGCATATTCTTTTCAAAGGATCATGGCATTAATAGTAAGAACAAAGCTGGACATGGCATGTTTCATCTGTTACAGACATTACACATTTCCAAACAGTTCGAGATTGTCTGAAACTTTCAGAAGAGTGACTGAGTTGTACTTAAGGCAACCTGCTGTATAATGGTGGACAGTAATATAATGCAAACATATATGCTGCCAACACTGTTAATCAACTACACTCCCATATAAAATGAAAAGTTAAAAATATATATTATGTCTCTGAGATATGAAATTGAGCGTAGGTCTTAGAAAATGAAAAGAATTGCATGCTGTTTTAGTGTTACAGTGATAGTTAACTTTTAAAGTTTTATAAATATTTGAATGTCATTCCACATCTCCTGAATCTGTTTTCTATATGAGTTAACCAAATAATACTTTAAAACTCTTAATACATATACTCAAGAGTTAAATGATTATTAAGAATAGCGATGTGTAACTGAAACAACACTCAGTTATGCTGGAAGAAAAACTTGTCCTTATAAGGAGATGATTTTGACAGTGACCCTGTGCCGGGCTAGAGACTGTTGATGCCACCGAGAATGTGAATGAATCGTCCACTCGGGGCTCACTGTCTAGTGGTGGGGAAAGGCATAGAAGTAACCACAGCACAGAATGCATCAGCAGTAAAAAAGGATGCAAGCAGTTTGCAGTGGAAGGGCATTAAAAGGAATCTTTAATTCTACTGCTGCGGTCCAGTAAGACCCCTTTTACCTCCTCTTCCAAGGAGTTTATCACAAAAATGTATCTCATTACATCTGCTTTATATCCAGTGAGATTCTTTAGCATGGCCCCTGCAGACTGTTTAAAGGCAAGGTTTAGCACTAAACTTGTGTGAGTAGCATGGAAAAAGCATTGCCCAGTCTTCTTCGAGATGTAGAAAGCCAGTTAAATATGTTTATTTCATTTATATAGTCATGGATTAAAGTAGTGGTACTTTGAACCATCTCCTTTCTTTTCCCTCATCCCGCCCTTCTCATTATTATCCCTTCATTGAAAATGTCTTGAGGAAGAAAATTTTTGTCAGGAGGATCTTTTTTTTTTTCCTTCCCTGGTACGCGGGCCTCTCACTGTTGTGGCCTCTCCCGTTGCGGAGAACAGGCTCCAGATGTGCAGGCTCAGCGGCCATGGCTCACAGGCCCAGCCGCTCCGTGGCGTGTGGGCTCTTCCCAGACCGGGGCACGAACCCGTGTCCCCTGCATTGGTAGGCAGACTCTCAACCACTGCGCCACCAGGGAAGCCCAACATCAGGAGGATTTTTAGGGAGTGTTTCTATTTCCAGTGTGTGGACCCAGGAACAGAAAGTGTGACAGCTAGAAGGTCTTGGAGAATATTTTGTTGAAAATGAGAAAAGCCTATCCAAATTATTTCATTTTGTGTCAGTTTAGTCAAAGAAAATGAAGTAAGGAAAACTGTGCTGGAATAAGTAATTTGCACAACACTTTGTACATTATAAGTACTCAATAAATATTTATTTAATTTTTTTTTTTAAACACCGATAAACCAGCCTCGTATGGAAATGATCTACATTATGGGGACAGAAAATCATGTAAAGGCATATTCTGCTTAGAGAAATATCCTATATGAAAATTCAAATTTTTAAACAAATGAATAAAGGGGTGATTATTTAAATTACAAAATTATATTTGCCTTTAAAATTGTCAGCTTTCATACTGCTTGCACGTGTTTCTTAATGATGACTGTGCTATCCAAAAAGCTAGTTTCTCTTCAATCATTTAGCATTTTATTCAGCACCTACTGTTTGCTTGGTGCTCAGAAGGCAAAATGCTTAAAAAATAGAGAACGCATGACATTTTATTTAAACTATGGTAATATTTATAACGGACTAATATTGTGTGACCATAGAGCAGTTGTAATTTTCAAGACAGCTCGCATATATTGACCCTTTACATCTGGTTGAATTAATGAAGGTTAAGTAAGCTCATGTTCATTTGGCAAATGTTGGAACTGTGCAAGGGAAGCTAAAGGGTCACTAACGGTCCAGTGTTTATCACAAGAATGTGTCTCATTACATCTGCTTTATATTCAGTGAGATTCTGTAGCATGGCTCCTGCAGACTGTCTAAAGGCAAGGGTTAGCACTAAACTTATGTGAGTGGCATGGAAAAAGCATCGCCCAGTCTATCACGTGTACCTGTAAATGTCAGGTAATTAACAATGAAAATGTTAGTGCTGTCAGCTGCCTTCAGTGTTTACAAGAATGGTTTCTTTTTTTACCCAAGGAATATAGTTACATTTTTTCACCTCTCCATGATTCTAGAGATGGGATTTAATTTTCATTCAAATAAAACTGTTAGATATTTCATACTTAGAATTAGTGGGATTTAATTAATGCCACACAAACCTATTATATACAACCAAATATGTGGATTAAGTAGCATTTGCCCTACTTGGTATATAACATACAGTTTCTATGCTAGTGTATATAATGTAGCAGGATATTAAGTTAACAGAGCATGAATTTGCCAAAGCACACAATGTTAGAAGACTTCAGTTGGTAAGACTAATCAGTGATGTGTTAACTATTAGGACATACCAGGAATAAGAAAAAACACATAATTGAAATAGTTTACTTGGAACTTCATTTTGGGCACTTTCTCTCTTTTCCTTAAAATTACGTTGTCTCAAATGTTGAAATTACATTTTCACATAGAACTTCCATATTCTTTTTCATAATGGAGAACAGGAAATGTGTTGAGTGTTGCATGACTTAATCTAAATTACAAATAAACGTGAGTTCACCATCTGGTAACTAGAAGGGGGATAACGTTAATATTAATTCATTTGTAAAGAGTTACTTGATGTATTTTGTTAATTCTGTTAATTGTACATATTACTGTTAAAGGTGTATCTTTAATATATTCTTTTTGAGAGTGTTTGGCCTCCTTAGCAATCCAGTCAAGTTGATTGGGATTTTGATAATTTCAAAAGATTAAGTCAGGGCTTCCCTGGTGGCGGAGTGGTTGAGAGTCCGCCTGCCGATGCAGGGGACGTGGCTTCGTGCCCCGGTCCGGGAAGATCCCACGTGCCGCGGAGCGGCTGGGCCCGTGAGCCATGGCCACTGAGCCTGCGCATCCGGAGCCTGTGCTCCGCAACGGGAGAGGCCACAGCAGTGAGAGGCCTGCGTACCGAAAAAAAAAAAAAAAAAAAAAAGATTAAGTCAGATCATCACAAATATTGTTAGTGATTATGAAACTAATTCAAATAAATTTAATAGCTTTTTTATAGACTAGATTGATTTCTGAAGCAATTTTTATATTATCTGTAAAGTTCCTATCAGTGAGCTATTATTTTTTCATTCAACATTGTTACTACATTTCCTAAATAAAGATTTTGTTTGCACGGGATTCTAACTAATGAAAATGTTATGAGCTAATGGAGTTTTGAAAATACTTTGGTTTTGTTTCTTTTTATAAAAATTGTATGTGTTAATTGCACATATTATAGATAAAAATGGGTAATAGAAGTTACTGCATCTATTTAATATAATTTTTTCGGCATTTAAAACTTTGTTTCATGTAACGCAGATTTTTAAAAATAAAAAGCCTGTGAAAGATAAGTGATATAACCATTTCTGTGTGTGCGTGTGTGTGTGTGTGTGTGTGTGTGTGTGTGTGTGTGTGTGTTTTAATCTACCCCTTAAAAGCTTCCTGAAGATTTAACATTGATCTGGATTATTTGACCAAATGTTGAATAATCATTTCTAGAAACATTCATTTGAGTGGTGAGTTGTAGCTGGAATGTGACCAGGTACTA